CCCCAAAACCCCAAAACCCCAAAACCCCAAAACCCCATCAGAATTTGAGGATTGAAAAGATACTATGTTTCAAAGGTGTCTTCTACAAGGTTGAGACTGTAAATTTCAATTTCCTGAATAAACCAGTTACTCTTCCTCCCTGCTAGAAGAGTGTCAGGGTCTTCATAAGTATTCGGACATTCATACACATTCCCAAGTTTGCTGTATGAACTTTTGATCTTTTTGAAGTTTATGAATAAATCTCAAAATCCTTCTTCACCAAAGCCTGGGCTCCAAAGTAATTCACTGCACTTAATAGCACAAGATGATCGGTTTCTTTTCACAGGGAATTTGATCACTCCTCGTCCTTTCCCATCAGTCAGAGAGAACAAAAATGAACCTGTTGTATTCAGGTACACATTCTCTTTGATCCAAGACAGAGGGTTGTATCCTCCAAAAATGTAGTTATCGTTCGCTTTCACAAGGAGTATCGTCGGCCCTTTGTTACTTCAGTTGAAATGGAACTGCTCTGTACCGCTCCCGTTCTTAGAATATCTATAGCATAGTTTTGCAGAATCAATTTTGGGAAGAATTGAGACAAACTGAGGGTTGAACAGATCATCATTTAAAATCTTGGAGTTCTCGAAACATCTTCTACATCTGTCAATGTCCATAGCTTTCACTGGAGCAAAGTCAAATTTAGCCAATACTTCAGAGATTATATTATGAGGGTTTTCTGTAAACATACTCTCTGTAAGATCTTCATCATCAGTATAGCTTAGATCAACTGAGGATAAGAAATTGTAAAGAGAATCTAACCTCTGAGAGATTCGAAGGACATCTCTGTCTTTGAACCCTTTAAAGTTTGATAAATGTTTGATTCTTTCTCTTGCTGATGTGAACCCATCAATCTTACGTTTGTTTTCCTTGTACACGAAATCAAAGGACTCTTCAATTTTCTCTTTCATTGCTTGCTTTCGCAGCTCAATTATTTTCTGAATCAATGCAAATTCAACATCAAGTTTCTTAATATACAGTAACTTTTGCCTTGTCATTGATTCTTGGAGCTGTTGGAATTGGCTAATAGAGTTCTGTAGGATCTCTCACACTTGCTTTCCTTCTTCAACTAATTTCTTCCGCTCGTTCACACCAAGCTTAATTGCAATAGGGATTGGTTTGATAGTATGTCCCTCGTGAGATGTCTCATAATGAGTTCACATTACTCACAAAGGCTTTCCTCAGTTAAATCAAAATAGCTTTAACTTTTCTTTATGAGCCTTACAGTCTTCCTCTTCTGTCTTGAGAATTTCAGATGAATTAGTCTTCGTAGGGTTATCTGTACCTTTAATATCAATTAGAGTATCTTTTTTGAGAAGAGATCCCTGAATTCTTTGACTGTTAGGAATAAAATCAGGACTTTTCATATCAGATACACCTCTTTGCGAAAGTATCTCTGGATTAGTCACCGAATCCCTAATATTCTCTTCTTCATTATTCTGCTGCGTATTAACACTAACTTTCAACAAGTCATCAGCTTTCTTCTTGATAACAATAGGTTCAAGTTTATTTAGATTTAGTCTTCACACCACATTCAGCTCACTTATATTCATTTTCTCCAAGTTCTACCTCTTGGAGCCCTCTAATTGTATCCAATTGTATTACACAGTCTTCACAGATGTTATGCTTTCATGCCATTCTGAATGGTTGCCTGACTTTTCTGTTTATAAACACGAATGACACTCAACATCGAACCAATTTTGTCTCAACATTGCTATATCCCCGCTGATAGCCTTAAATGGCTTGGCAGTTTTCTTCTTCAGGAATTTTAGGCTTCTAGCCGGTCTCTGCTCGCTAAATGTAACTTTAAGCCTTGTTGAAGAGGTCCAGAAGGAAATTTAGGGATTTCAGCCGGTAAGAATTGGTGTCTAGAGGAGCTTAGCTTACCTATCTATGGTTGTGGTCTCTGCAACGGTGGATTTACCTCTAGAGATAGGGGCTGAAATTACCTTCTAATATGGCCGATTATTTTTTGGTAGTTCTTTTGGATGCTATCTGGAGCTTGAGGAGCTTCTAGTTTAGAGTCATCCTGTTTCTGCTCGAAACTCTGTGTCTTATTTGTTTGGGTGATTATAGAGCTATCCTTCTCTGATTTGTGAGCGTGAAAGAAGGAAGAGAATGAAAGAGCAGGTTTATTTAGAGATTTTTATTATTTTCGGACCCTTTGATTTTGGTATTTTGATCAAACCTAATGATGCCTCTGAAGAATTTTGCTTTTGTTTAGCAACTGGTGTTTTAGAAACAGCTACTGAGTTTATATTGCTGCTAATGAATTGCTTTTATCATATGAGACCAAACTATGTTTATTTTTCCTTCTAAAACTCATAATTATTTCCAAATCCCTTCTATCCCCTTCTGATATTTATCCAGTCTTATCTACCTATTAGCATACCTTTTCTCTACTCCTAATGCTTGATCCTGAAAGCTCAGATATCCTGTTTCAATAGTGGTCCTTTGTTTCCTAAATCCTTGAATAACTCTCAGACGTACATTCTTTTTCTACTCCTTTTAGCTATCGGAGGTAAGTCCTTTAAGTTCATTTTTAAATTTCAGTTTATTTTTAATATATAGGGGTTTTGGGGTTTTGGGGTTTTGGGG